AAAAAAAAAAAAAAAAAAAAAAAAAAAACACTCTTTAGTGGTCGGCCCGTTCACAAAAAAAACACCAAATGAACGGCCGGTCACGTTTACGGGTCCGGCACTGCTCGCCACACCACTCTCGAATCTCGAAAATTCGAGAGTTGGGCACTGCCACACAGCCTCCCGAAAAAAAGACCCTTGGCTGTCTTCGAGAGCTGTCAGAACGCAGGTTTCGAGGGCCCTCTCGAAACGATGTTTGAGCCCAGCCTGTTTCGTGATACCGCCCATCGGTGCTCGAGTTCGTGGTCCATTTCGAGAGCTGTCAGGCCATTTTGGACGGTAGTGCACTGAAGGAGAGCAGCACAATCTCGAAAGCAACTCTCAAAAATGCACCTTCTTCGAGAGGCGGAAGGTGCCGGACACGCTTCCAATTCGAGAGTTGGCTCTGCCACACAACACTACTGAATCTGGCCGCGCAGAGCATCCACGTTCGAGAGGAAAATTTCGGGTGTGCTATGTGGCGAAGGGCCTTTTTCTCTCGAAAATTGCCCTCTCGAAAAGTTCTGACAGGCAGTGACAACCCTCAAATTTTTTCGAGATTCGAGAGTAGTGTGGCGAGGCCCGAAGTCTGACTAAGAAAACCAAAATTCATAACATGACAAGCTCAGTGTTCTATTTTTGGACTTTTCACATGGTCAGGAGTGGAGTGTTGCATTGCCTGCCTTCACCTGGCGTGGACTCCCCGTCTTAGGGCATACTCACAGTGGGGCCTATAATCCCAAATTGCCCCCCCAAAAAGGTAGAGGGCCCGTCACACAGATTTGCCAAAGTCCTAAATGTACTATTGGTGTGCCCATTGGTAGCCGCGGGGCGAGGGAATTTGTGGTCATCTCCTCTTCTCCTCTGGAGGTGACCGCAAATGCCCTATTTGTTCTTAAGCATTTTCTTCGAAAAATGGTGAAAATTCGTTCACAAAAGTTCTTGCACAATTTGTGGATGGCGCCCTTTGACATCACACTGCAGTACCAAATCTCCATTTCTCCAGGCGGCCACAGCCTTTCCCCATCCGAAAAGGTACGGCAGTGAGACCCGAACCATGCTCAAAACCTCAAATCCGCCTTTCCCAAAATTTGCGGATTTGGGGTCGCAATGCGAGGAGTATGCCTTGAGGGCCTACTCACACTAGGGCCTCTTATGGCAAAATAGCTCAAATTTGAGGGTTGGAGGCAGGGAAAGTGGCAAAAGCAGCAAACGGGGTTACGGGGTACTGG